TATCGGTTTTGACAGGATCGGTTTTGGGAGGGTCGACGGTAATTGATTATGATTTTCGAAATTTGGATGTCGAGATTGGTAGAACCGATAGGGTCGGTTTAGAGTTACGTTTTTGATCAGTTAGTATGAAAATTTATATATAAATATCAAGAATACAATTTATGCGATATATGTAAGTTAACCGAACTTCCAAAAAAAGCAAAGATCAGACATAAAATTTTATCATATGATCACTACATCCAATTAGAATTAAAATTTTGTATACGATGTGACAGGGAAAAATGGTATTACTATACAAACTAAGCTAACAAGGGTTACTACTACTCTAAAACCTAACACAAGTACTATTAAATTTACTAATATCTTTCCTCTGCATCCTAATTGACAGGCTTCAATCAAGGCATGGTTTAATTTGGTCCGAGAATAGGGTGTTTTCCTATACTACGGCAGTCACGGGACTGGTTTCTAGATATGCTTACTACTTTTCACACTAGAATTTACTAGAGTTATTGGCACTTCTTATTACTTTTTAGTTTTCTCTACTAGTATCTATTATACTAGTGTCTTTACTCTTCAAGTTCGACTGGGTTCGATTGAGTTTCAGGATCTGAATTTTGGCATCACGTGTCACGATTTAGAACAATTACGTAAGTGAGGGTTATTAACAATGGGGTTAATCACGAACTTAATCAATTTACTAGTTTATGTAAATAAGGGTCGATTACTAATTCAATCTTTCTCTTTTACTTTTAACGCACTAACAATAATGGGTCTTTATGAATCACGGGGACAAGAAATACGATACACTATTTTACGTTACGATTTATTAAGGAGCGGGAACCTTGAAACTACTACTCATATACTTTCGTAGTTATGAACTCAAGGGAAGTTATCCTTTATTTTTGGCGAAATTATTGTGCTTAAATACATTTTTACGAAATATTAATTAGCTACCAACTTTTTTTGCCATAACGACCATGTCTGTCCTATATATCCTATATGGCCTATATGGCCTATATAGCTTATCTGTTTATCTGGCAGATATGTCAGATCTGACATATCTGCCTTATTTTGCAGATTCGGCACACTTTAACCAATTTGGGTTCGATCAACTCGAGCTGCTTTGACATCGACCTGAACGATTTTTCCCTCTCACAACGAACGCAAAACTCTAATTGAACCATCCACTTCGTTCCACTACGTTCCTGGTATACACTTCGTGATATTCATCACTCCGTTCCTGGTATTAAAGATTTTGCCGTAGTAATAATGCAGATCTATTTCTAATTATATACTATATCTTACTGTATATACAGTAGGCTCACAAAGTATAACACAGTTACACAAAAAAACATAACAAAAATTTATGCAAAAAAAAACATAACAAAAATTTTATGCAAAAAAGCTTACGTAAAAATTATACAAAAAAAAAGTTTACGTAAAAATTTATGCAAAAAGTATACGTAAAAATTTATGCAAAAAGTATACGTAAAAATTTATGCAAAAAAGTATATGTAAAAATTTATGCAAAAAGCATAATACGTCAGTTAATCACTGTATTAATAAGTTAATTAATCATTGGATTTAATCATTAATTTATCAATATTTAAGAATTTATTTTTTTTCGTTTTTACTCTTTCTTATTCGTATTCTTTCTTACTCATATTTTATCATAACCATGCCTCGCAACATTCAATTAAGTGACTTTGAAAAAGGACAAATTATTGGAATGCATAAGCTTGGAGCTACAATGACGTTTATTGCTACAGTATTAAATCGTGATCGTTCTGCAGTATCTCGATTTTTAACTCGATATAAAGAAGGAAATGTTGAAACCGTCATACGTTCAGGAAGACCATTGATTATGACTAATATGGATGAGCAAAACCTCATTGATGCAGCAATCCATTACAACGATCTGCCGCTTAAAGAAATATTAGCTAATCGTGATATTAATATTTCACGATCTTTGGCAAGAAAAATCTTGCACAAGAATAGAATCTGGGGACGTATAGCCGCTAAGAAACCAGGTTTGACTCCAAATCAAGCAGAAGCATGACTTGCCTAGTGTAACGCTCATGTTAATTGGAGTACAAATGATTGGCAGAAGGTTATCTTTAGCGATGAATCATCTGTTGAGATCAGTGGTTGTTCACGAAAAATGATTGTATGGAGAATGAACGGTGATCGATACAAGCCACATTTTACGGTACTAACATTTAGAAGTGGAAGAAGAAGTATCATGATATGGTGATGTTTTGCGGGTGGCGAAAAAGGACCATTGGTTTTTATAAAAGAAAGAAATGGCGCAGGAGCAATTAATGCTCGAAGATATGTTGAGGTATTAAAAGATCATCTGGTACCTTTTTGCCGTGAATTAATTGCAATGTTCGGAGATAATATCATCTATCAAGATGACAATGCACCTATTCACAGAGCACGATATACTCAAGAATGGATGAATAATGAAAATATTAACCGTCTTCCCTGGCCAGCACAATCACCTGATTTGAACCCCATTGAGAACGTATGGAAAATATTAAAGGATAATGTTCAACGGCGAAGGCCACCTCCAAGAACTTATGAAACTTTAAAAACGGCACTTCTGGAAGAATGGGAAAATCTAGATTCATCCATCTTGATGAATTTAATTAATAGTATGCCAAATCGTATTAATGAAGTTATTCAAAATAACGGTTATGGTTGTAAATACTGAATAAGCACCAAAATTATCGTAGCAATAAACTAAATGTTTCAAAATTATTGCCACCTATACTGATATTTAATATATATCAACATATGCTGTATAATCATTATATATTAATATTGTAATCACATATTAATTTGCGCAATATATTAACATCGTTGATTTGCATAAATTTTTGTTATGTTTTTTTTTGTTATGTTTTTTTGTGTAACCGTGTTATACTTTGAGAGCCTACTGTACATACTGTACATACTGTACGTACTGTACGCGAAAAAAATCGGGCTATCATATAAACGGCATATCACTAGGCACAATTCCCATTGTGTAATTCCATTAATCAATAAGTTTGTTAATTTGTGTTAAATTGATCCGAGCGAGAATAATGATTAGTGCTCCGAATCGGGTCAGGCCAACCCGAAACCCGACCCGAAATTTCGGGTCGGGTCGGGTTCGGGTTAGAAAATTTTGATACAACAGGTAAGAACGTCCCGAGTGCCCCGATTTTGTAGATCGTTACACAATTAATTAAGGTTTTTTTTTATACGTTTTACAATACTTTTTTCGGAAGCTCGGGTAACTTAACTCACAAGTAAAGGGGAACAAGTACA